GCATACCCTTCTTCAAATGTGCAGTTATACAAGCAGCCAGACATATCCAAAAAACAAAAGTTGCAGATAGGAGAAATGTATGACTTCCTAGCATTCACTTGGGAACCAAAATTCAGCAACGAAGCTAAGAATTGTCAAAGTACTGTGGGAATCCTGCTTGTTATACACTGCACATTTTAACAATGGTATTCCAAAATTGGCAGATATTAAAAATGTCAAGCAAACCCATTCCATTGTGTAAAATCTCTAACGTTTGATGTTTCAAATGGAACCAGAAGTAAAAATGGAGTCACAATTGGATGGTTCTTGTAACCCTAACCCTAGCTGGGCCTGAAATGCATGCTCATGTATTTACCATTACCATTTTAAGAGCTTTTTTCTTCTATATGAAATATAGCCTATAGAAGGTACAATATATAAGAATATATTTTTAAAATGGGTTGTGCATGAATTTAAATGTTATAAAGCCCATACTTTGTGACTTGAGGGACATTTTCAAATCACGTTATGGGGGGATCCCAGAGACAGATTTCAGAATTGTTCAGTTTAAACCCCTGCTAGGGTTAGGGTTAGGATTCTCACAGTAATTAGACACTTTTTAGCTTCATTGCTGTCTTTTAGGACCCAAACGACCGCTGATAAGAGTATTACTTTTCTCCTATCTTTAACTTTTATTTTTGGATATGTCTGGCTGCATGTACTGTAATTAACCATCAGTAAAGAGGGGACTCAGGAACTTCTATCTTCTAAGAACTGTGGCAGTGACTTAAAATATGGTATCCTTTAATGTGTTTTCATTGCTCTATGTATTTAGTCTTTTGATCCTTGCCAGTTCTTTGTTCTGCACCAGTTGTATTTGGAGGTCCAAAGACCAAAAACCATTACGTTGGTAGTTTGAGTCATGGCTGAACCACATGTACTGTACCTTAAAAAGCAATCCAGCTGTCACGGCCAACATTCCTCCCTAGAGGGCGCCCCACTACTCCTGTCATTTGTTCCGTGATTGTTGTTATGTTCCCCAGGTGTAGCCTGTTATGTCTACCGCTTTGTAAAGTCTACTGTAGCTCTTCCAGCCCTCATGGCTCAACATGAGGGTTCAGATATCTTGAGACCCACTTAGCACCAGGTCGTCTCCCCCGCGACCTGAGGGCATAGGTTGTTACCCGACATCGTCTGACTTCCTGAGCCCGGGCTAACCCCCGTTTTCCCGCTACGCACAGGGTTTTTTTTGCTCTCCTCGCCATTCCGTGGCATGCCTTTCCAACATCCGTGACACCAGCTGTGTTCATGCTGTCTGAAAGATGTCTGTTGCATTTTAATAATCTATCCCTAATAAAGACAGAATTTAATGAGAATATTACGTGCTTCCACCTTGTTAATCCTTGTAGTAAAACCTTGCTATGGAAAGACGTCATCAGGGATTTCAAGCGCTGTGTAACTCCTCTATTATTATTTAACAGAGTTAGCAGGGGTTTAGATCAATTGGCCTTTGTACCAGTCACGTTAGGTAAGTTGTAGCGAAACAAGGCCAGTGCACCAACTGCAGACACTGTTAAATCCATCAGCAATAGCGTTTATTAAGTCTGCATAAAAAGGCAAGATCTTACAAAAGATTAATGAAGGTGCATTGAGGTCACACCCGCACTGCAGCTACAGGATATGTCCCATTGTTTAAGTTGATATTTTATAATCATTTATTGTGTCTGTCCTGATGTAATCATCTTGTCATTGCAGTGTGCCAATGCACTACCTTCACCTCCACAATATGCTTTATTTTTTAACCCAGAGAAAATGTAATCTCTTAAACATGGGTTTTATCCACTCAATGGAAAGCTCTGTTAGACTAAAGGAGATCGAAAGCACAATACCTGGCTGTGTACTTTTGGGTTCAGCCACTGTACTCGCTCCTGAGCTGCCTGGAAATAAATATCCTGATGTGAGCAGACGTGGCCGGCTGGCTGGGACACTGACCAGCAAAAACGTACATCCTTGTCAAAATGAAACACAGTACAATATTCTGGAGCCATTTCTGAAGTCTACAATAAATCAAGTTAAAGATTATTTTTTTATTTTGTACAATGAGTGAAGTTTAGGCAGCATCAGCTACTTTCAATCAACATGCACATACTGTACTTCTCATGAAAGAGAGAAATAAGTAAGAAACTCTTGTTTTTTAGTGCTGTGATTCATTCACTCCTTTCACCAAAGAAAAATATCCAACAAAAAGAAAAGAGAACAATCTGTAAAATTGAAAGAAATATCATGAATTCTGAACATTGACTCTGGGGTCTGCAATCACAATGATGCCACAATTATTTTAATTGGCCACACCTAGGCACTCCTAAACTGGACTGGTGGTAACCACATAGTCAGAGCAATATGGAACATAACCCGGAGAGCACAGGGTGCAAGGCTGAATTTCTTTTTAGGCTAATGTATGTTCTCTACCAATCCAAGTGCTGGCATACTTGAAGAAATCTTCCTCTATATGGGGTGTCTTGTCCTGGGAAAACAGGATACAAAAAGTTTCATTCGATGAGGGGGAAACAGGTACAGCTATTCCTGTCCAAATTAAGTTATTATCCTTTTTGTCACAAAAATAATAAACTGAATTTCATTAAACAAAACCACACCAAGCATCACATGTGGTTTGGCAAATGGGTCTTCTTCATAACAGGAGAACAGAGCACACCTGCATGCATCTGAAACAATAGGTCTAATGAAGACCTATTGGTTGAAATGCATTTGCTGATTCATGAGGTGCTGCATTTTTCCTCCTATTAGCAGAGATGATATACATATCTACTCAGTTTTCTGTAGGCAGGACCTGAAATATACAGTACATACATAATACTTTGAGAAAAGACAAAATGGATAGGTAGATAGATGCACATGAACACTTAGAACACTATAGGCAGATTATACTTTCCAGAAGAAAAAGAACTGTACATTTTCGAAATTCTAAAGCACCAAACTTTTAGCAAGATGAATCCTGCTTTGTGCCGTTTGATTGCTGGGACAGGCTCGGCGGGCCCTCAACAGAAAAAAGCAGTTAGAAAATAAATGGATAGTTGGATTTAGAAAAAAAGAAGAAAAAAAGAAAGCAGAAAGAAGAACATATTACATAGAACATATTAAAAGTCTTTATCAACTTCAGAATTAAGTATGACTGTTACAGCAGCTTCTGATTAACTGAGAAAAATGAACTTTATTCTAATTCTTTGTTGTGTGATCTGGCAGCTACAGCTGAGGGACCAGAAATGCTCTGAGCTGTGGGATTTGGAGGTAAAGTAATCCGACCCTAGAGCAGAGGCACTGCAAGGCAGTTTGTTTTGTTGGTTGCAACACAAGAACATTTATAAACGTGAGGGGGCTTCCAGCTCTTCAGAACTAGAGAAGACTGGAGTTTAGTCTGAGTTAAGGAAGCAAGTGAATTCATACTGAGCTCTTCTAATATAATTAGTCTAGTTTAGTTTTGCTTAGTGTTACTTTAATAAACTGAAACAGGCAATCCACCATTTTAAACACCCATTATATCCCACAGGTCTCATAGGGTTTGAAGGTGAGAAAATGTGTAAACTGTTCTTACTGTTCCTCACCTGTCTTCTGCATGCTTGCTGTAGTAATGCTAAACTGAACTCATACAATATTCTCTCTTTTATCCCACACTTCTAAATGTGCTGTTTCTTTGTTCCTAGCCTGATAGAGCACAGCACAAAAGTTCAGATACCCAATGAAGCTCATCAATTTAGACTAAAAACAAACTGGGGCAGAGGAGCACTCAGTCAAGAATTCTTCATATAATTTATTAGGTTTAAAGTGGACCCAAAACAAATAGTAAAACATATTTCATGTTCATCAGTGTATTTCTTAAGAAAGCTAAAAAAATCTAAAAAGAAAATCTAATCTCTTTTCCAAATCTAGCTATTATTGTTTCGTATTATTTTAGTTTCCAGCCTTACTGTATGAAGACCCTTTTCACTCGGGTTTAGCCCTGTGGGTCCAATAGAAAAACTTGAACTTTATCTTCAAAAGATCAATAATGTTCAGTCCTTAGTATTTGTTTTAATTTTTAATAATCTAGATTTGACTTTCAAGTCAATTTATGTACATAACTTTGATATATATATATATTAGAAGACAATGATAAACCTTAAGTGTACAGATTAAAACCTATATGGTTTGGAAGAGGCCTTTAATTTTATTTAAAAAAATCTGGCATTGCAAGGAACTAAATTAAATGAGCATGCCCGTTACATGTGATAGAAGAAGAAATATGGCCCCAAAGGCATTTTCCTCAATGGTTCACGTTGCAAAACACTGAGAGTGCAACAATGGTTACACTTTATGTGCTCTAATAAGCACTGGAATCTGCTCAATTCCCTCTTGCTAAATGAAGACACCCCCCTACCCCCACCTTCCCCCCTCAGTCCACAAACTCTTTAACTAACACCCCAGTGCACGCAGCTCCTTCCCTAGTGCACACTGTTAATTGAGTTTCTATCACCCTCCTCCCCTTTTCTGCTCCCATTGCCATTTTTGTGCTGATTAATTCAAAAATCTGCAGTGATTAATACCGTGTGACAGGCTAATCCTGCACTTGGTGATGCTACAAATCATACTGCTCAGCTCCTCCGCTCCTCACAGCTTGTCTCTCCTCCTCGGACACTTCTTCAGTGCCTTGTTTACTGTCGCTCTCTTGCGCCGTTCTGGGCAGTGCTAGTCTGCGCTCATCTCGGAGACATACTGCCCTCACAGCAGACACATCCCTTCCACCCAGGTAAGCTCCAGACATTCACTTGGCAGGGCTGAAGTGTAGGCAATGGAAGACGAACTTCTCTTCCATCACATAATGCTTTTTATTCATACAAGTACAACAGCTCGGAGTAGGATATATTATTACATTGTTGCATTCCTGATTTGTTCTGCAGGCACAGTGTTTGACTTATAAACAGTTATTTAAAAATTGTCTGCTGGATAATTCACGGCTATACATAACTGTTTATCTTAATTCGCCAGTGTATTGCAGTTCATTATCTGTATTTTCTAGTTTCATCGTATTTGATGAGTGCGTGTTACCGAGATAGTTAACAATATATTTTTGTGAGCAATTTGTGTGAAGGTGAATTTTAGTTTTAGTAAATGCTGATTCAGCTTGTTGCTTTGTAAAAAAAAAATCAGCTCTTCTGTGAGGGAAACAAAAGCAGCGATGCAAATGTACATTAATTAAAAAGCTCTTCTACACTCTTTGATTAACAGCTATAGCATTCTTGCATCAAAGTCAAACAGGTTTAAGGGGCTCAGGCTGTTAATTTCACAATATTCAATGCCACAAAGAATTACATTAATTTTGTGTCTTAGTATACCCTTGTTACCCCAGTGTTTTCTGTGTTTCTTTCTCGATGAACTTCGTTAATTAGGCTTATTGAATGCTTGTGTGTGTTTTTAAAACTCCTCTTAAACAGTAGGACAGGTTGGTAATTAGCATGAGCCCAGTGCCAAGTGCTGGATTTCAGTACTCTTCTCTCTTAGGTTTATTCTTCTTATGACTTGGTAGAATTTAATTCTCAGGCCTTTGCAGCACTGATAATGCCTTATTGTGTCTTATTAACACAGAGTTATTCTCACTTGTGTCTGTACCTTCACTAATGGGTAACAAGTTAGAAGCTTTTTAGGAAATGAAGGAGGAGCAACAAGTTTAAACCAAGTTGAAATTGATTTTGTGTGACACATTTGTTAGAAATTAATACTATTATTTCTGAAACTAGAACCTGAGAAGAGGAAACAAAAATCAATTAACTGATTGAATTGGGGGGTCAATTAATCTAAATTAGTGTTCAACTGGAATGAAACCAGAAATAAAGGAGATACTCCAGGACTGAGAAACAAACCTAAGCTGTCTGAAATGTTTTGAGAAAAAGTAAAATTTAACACCAATGAATGCTAGTTTCAATACAGATTTCATAACAGAACATCTGTTAAACAAGAAATGTGTTATAATTGCGGCGTATACTGTATATTATGTAAACCTGTTGGAGAACATGGAATGGAATGCAAACTGCTAATTTCATGAAAAAACAGGGAAGAACATATAAAACAAGAAAAAAGAGCTAATAGATTAATGAACCCAAAATAATCAATTTCAAACATTCTGTAATGTATTTTAATAAAGGTAATACTTAAAATAGCAAATGCATGATTGGAACAATGCTGGCCTATGCAGTGTTGAATAAGTTAACATTTTAACCCATGTCAGGATAACAAGTGTCTGATTAACTGTGGACCTGGCTGGTATAGCATAACAAATCATCCTTGAGAAAAATGCCATCATAATGGATTGATGGGATTACCAACGTTCACACAATGAAGTCTTTTGTTGAACTGTCATGAGGTTTTTCTTTACAAAATATATAAATAAAATAAAAAAACAGCTAGAATTACTTTCCGACAGGACAGCACTCTTTTTCAAAACTATTCTCATTTGGTAGATCTGTTATCTGTCCCTTCAATTGAATTCAAAATGGTTTCTGTTGTTTCTTTGTTCAGAGACCGTTACAGTAGGTGTTCTGCACAGTTGCCATTATACTTTTCTGATTGGACAGTGCACACAATTTTTAAAATTCTATAAGCTGAGTTGGTAGGTTTTTTGTTGCAAAAAAACTCTACAAAACATGCTTGTGTTATGGCAGGAAATAATGGTAAGATAAATAACAGATGGGGACTTTCATTCTAACAACCTAAGGAGTTTAACAGTGCCGCTTGAATATGACATTTAAGACATCTGTCAATTCATTGTTCTTAAGCTATTGCAGCTAGCACTGGAATTCTCATTTTTTTTAAAACAAGACTCGTATTCCTGACTATTGTTCTCTTCTAAGAGAAACTATATAATTGAACAGAATATTACGAATCACTCAATAATACCATTGGGATGCAACTGTAGTTATTTGAAAAACAAACATATGATAGGTATTTTGTACATTTTAATGTTGCCCATTTTTATTGTATGTGTCTTTAAATATTCCACTTTATATGGTGCCGTCTTATCTGTTATGGTCAATGTTAAATTTGGAGTCTTTCAGGTGTGTCATTAACATGTTATTTGAAAGTAAAAAAAAAATCCAAATTAATTGTATTTGACTTCAGTCATTTGAAATCAGTCATCATAGAGTTAAATTAATGACCCTACCCCATCCTTTGTATGTCTAACAGGATTATCACAGGGTTTACTCCAGACCACTTAAGGCCCTATAGCACTTAGTACAGCTCATTTTATGGTTTGCTTGTACAGAAAAAGTTAAACTGTGAAACTCTGTATTAATTCTGTGAATGATGCCATTTACTTCACAAGCAGCTCCTCTTCATTTCCCTGAAATACTACTCCAGAACAGAACAAGCTGCTTTCTAACTGCTGTTTTCCTAGATTTAACAGAAAACTGTAGCTGAAATCTACAACTAGGATGTGTCACTCCTACAGGATTGTTATTTGCTTCTTATTGTGGACTCTTTCTCTATTTCCCAATATGTCGGAAGTTGAAATAAGAGTCTGGAGCCATGGCAGTTATTGTGAGTACTCATTCATGTTTTCATTACTTATTGTATTATTAATTCTTTATAGATCAATGCAAGAATAATCCATCAATAACATACATGACAGTTTTTAAACCATCCATATTTCAGAGGCTGGAAATGAACTCAGCCTTATAAAGCAATGAGAGGCAAATCCTATTGTAGGAATTGTTTCAAAGAGCCCCAGGACAGGAGGTCATTCAACTGATTTCATATAGAGGATGAGCTTCCTATGATCCATTGAACTTATATCTACTGGCCGGCCAGGGCATGAGAGAGACACTGTGCTTGGACATTTGTGTGGATAGGATACATTATTTGTGCAGGATCTGACATTATATCAGTTTGCTCAAAGATTTTATGTCAATATGGGTGACTGGTTAGTTTTACGAAGAGGACATTTTCTTTTCATGGAAGATGAGGGAGAAGCCTGAATAACTCTTCTGACAACCTGCCAGTCACTTCAAACACTAAAACAGGAATCGTGAGGAAAAGCGATTGTTGATAACATTTTTTTCCTTAGAGAAAGAAAAGCAACAAGCAAACCAAAATACCTGTCTAAAAGGGAGGAAAGTCAGATATTGTTAAAAAAAACTCAGAAAGCTGTGCAAGAGTTTGGGAAATGTCAAAGACATGACTGCAGTATACAGGGTTTAAAAGTGCTGTAGATTCAGTTTTTCTTTACACAATCGTATTTATGAATGCTCTAAAGATTTACACAATGACCTTGATTGAATGTCCTTGTATTTTACCCTTTTATAAATGAACAAGTGAATTGCGTATACAAAATAATGAAGCATGCCGGAAAAGATTAATGGAATTATTTAATTAGATGGAAGGACTTTGTGGGACTGTTAAGTGCCAGGGTTCAACATTAAATACTGAGTGAGTTGAGGCACTGCTGAGAGTCCTCACAGTTAATTAACACCACACTCTTACTAAGACCAGGGCTCATGCTGAATATTATCAGTATTTCAAACTATTCCATGGAAACAGAAGTTTAAACATTCTGAGTTTTCCAAAAATCCTGGAGCTCTTTCTCCTTAATATCAGATGTTCTGCCAGCCCAAAGGTGGTTACTGTTAGCTGAAGATGCAGTCACTGGAATTAGCACCTAATCTCTTGTTTCAGAGGAAGGTTTACCAGGCTTTTGGTAGTCATGTGAGAAAGCTTATTGGTCATGCAGCAGTATGCATTGATCTCCATTCTCCTTCCTTGGCAAAAGCTCAGGATTAGCTTGCTTTCAACTGTTGTTGTTGCAAATTACACATCATCACAAGTACTGCAAGATTTACAATTTCACTGAGGCAATACCCAATGAACTTAACAGAAAAACTTCAAACACATCTATCTCCTTAACACAAAATGAGTGCAAAAAAGAAGACCTTATTCTATGCCCCCTAAATCAAAGTAACAGAAAAAGGGAATATCTGTCCTGAACAAGATTTTTGAGGATGAACAAAAAATCCTCAATGTACACAGAGCAACGATTCCTTTGACTGCAGAAAGTGCTGCTGTGCAAGATTACCTTGTTCAGGGGTGCTGCCATTTGTCGATATATGAACAGAGGCTGCTTTACTCCTGAACTGAAGCCTATTATATCACTTTGCCATATGTGGACTCATTGCCGGGCAACAGTAGAAGTGAGCTTCTGAGGGGAAGAATATGAGATTATACATAAAGGAAAAGGGGAGGAACTGATGCACAGAACATCAAAACAAAAGTCATCAGCAAAAAAATAAACGTTTTCTGATCTTGGGAGAAACTCAAGTTAGTTGCCATTTTTCTTTCACATGACACTCTTGTTGTACTAATGTCTGACTGTCTCACTGTAGGTTATCTGCATTATGAAAACAATACATTGTCAGTATTTCATTATACTGTATATTAGCAGTTTTAATACTAGTTGAATTTGAATAACAAGCCTCCCGTCTGTTCAGTACTGTGATTCAAAATGCTGGCCATTTGAAATTAAAATCCTTAAAAGATTTATGTTGTAATAAGTGTTAATAGTAACTGTTACTGAATTTGATGGCTGGCAAAATAACTTTTATTTAGTAAAAGATAGATAGATCTATCTAGATAGATAGATCTATCTAGATCTATCTTAAAATAGAAGGACCATAATTTTACACTTTGCTTCACATTTCTAAATTGCAAATTTCTAGTTTGTTAGTCTTCTACTAAGTCAGTTATGGGATTAAACTGCTTTGTAAATCTTACCATCTCCTTTTATTTGTGAAGACCGGAACATTCCGCATGGTGTCTGAGGAGGAGCAGGCCCTTCGTGCCAAACTGGAGCGTCTCACTGTGAAGGACCATGGGCCTGTGTTTGGGTCCTGTGAGAAGTTACCCCCTCACACTGTACAAAAGGTATGCCCCTCACTTTGGTACGGCTGGAAATTCACACACATTTGTTTTGGTGCCCTGTTAGTTCCACTTTATGCACAGGTGCTCTCTCAAGAGAGAGAAGGCAACCTCATGAGGCCTAAAAAGGACAAGAATATTTTCTCCTGTACAATTAGTAAAAACGTTTTCCTCACAACATAGTAATTTTTTCATAGGATATATCACAAAGGGTTTCATTTGTGAGTATTTTAATAATTTAAATTTAATCTCAATGTCTAATTTGTCTGGGTTCATTGAATTAGTGAATAGTTACTGTATGTGTTGCAGTTTGTAAAAAAATGTAATTATTGTGCCTGAGCCTTAGTTACAGTACTCCATCAGGTGATGTGTCATGTGGGTCCTTCAAGTTGTGTAATGTAGCTGTATAATGATCTCCATTCATTAATCTCTTACTCCCAGGGGTGTTTCAAAACCACTAGAAATGGAACTTTAAAAAATCTTTTTATACCAATGGTGTATTGCAGGTTTAATGTAAATTAAGTGCTTTTTTAACTACTATTATAATAATATATTCATATGTTTTACCTTGCTGGACTCCTCAGGGTAAATGTTAAGCCTATACCTACTACCCAAAGTGCTGTGAGTGGTACTGTAGGTAGCAATACAGGTTAAAGTTACAGGTTATGCCTATGCTCAGTTAATATCTCTGGGATGGCCAGAACATCTTGACACAATGGGTAGAATGCTACTGATGTCAGTCTAACTCCCAGTGGACACAACCATATGACAGAACCACAGGGTAATACAACTGAATTGAAACAGTTTATAGGTTAAAAAGTGAGACTGTGAGGGTTGGAAAAGCTAAGTGCCTTGTACGTATGGGAGAAATATCATTGTGGTGGATCCTTCAGTTTTTTTTTAGTAAAGAAATATAATCAAGTGCCCTCCATCTCTGTTCTGCTGTGTGACATGTGACTACTCTTTGCAGGCTAAGGATGAGATGAATGAGACAGATGAGAACAGGGTGTCAGCGGTGAAGGAACTGCGGGCTTTGATCCAGGAGAAGCAGGACTTGGGTGAAGATGTGGCCAAGTCTGTTGCTGAGCGCATGCTGGACAAGCCCGATTCACTTCTGCTGAGATTCATTCGTGCTCGCAAATACGACATCAACCGCGCCTACGAGCTTATGAAAGGTGGGTTTTCCTTATTCCTTATTCTTAAACAACAGAATTATAAAAATGAACATATGAATATACATTAATCTTAAAAATATTGTAAAATGATTAGCATATTTTGGATAAAAGCAGGGTGTTTTCCGTGAAAAATGGAAGTTATAATTTCGAAGCTTTGTACTTCCACTTACAAATATTACATGGTGAAATCCACTCTTATCAGATTGGATTGACTGCTTTTAAACCAGACTGAAACACAAAGCCCCTGTTTTTACACAACTGCTTCTCTATGCAAAAACAATCAAGCGCAGATTCAACCATGCAATAGGTTTACTGCATGACTTGTCATTATTAGGCCTTTGTGGAATTCCAGAGCAGTCCAACTAATTGGTCAAAAACATTTCTTTTGTCTTCTGTTTTGCATCTATCTCTGTCTACTTTGGGGGGAAACAAAAACAGTACCTCCATTAATTAGGCATTATTTAAAGCTCAAAGCGCTGAGGCTTCTAGTGACAAAAGGACTCTTTGTCTACATATGGGGCAGGTTTGTAATCACAAGGACGAGAAACAGGGTCACTGTACATATCCCAGATCTGAGGGCAAGGAGAGGAATGATGATAATGAATAAGATGCATCGTTCTAAGCTTTGTTGTGTCCTTTTTTTCACACACTGCGTACAGGAGCAGATTCCACACATAACACTTTGTGAAAACACACAAGCAGGTTTTACTGAACATATCAGTGAACATACCCCCTAGACAACTCACATGACCTCATTGTATGAGGAGGGGAGGAAGTGTGTGTAATTTGTGATTACACAAGGATAAAGAGGGATGGCTAATTGCTCCTCTAGCTTAAAGAGAGAGAAGCTAAGAGTACTGTAACTTCAAAAACAAGAAAATAAAGCATTTGGTCATGGGAAGGAACCGCAACATTAATGTACATGTGGACCTGACAGCAATAGCAAAACTATTAAATACTGTAAGCTTCAGACTAAATGTAAAATACAGTCCCATTAGGTTGACACTAATAGTAAGTAAGTAGACTTTTTTACTTACAGTATATACAAGAATTTGATTTGATTTGATTCAATTTGATCCAATTCAACTCGTTCAAGCTTTATTGACCCATTGACCCATAAAAAAATAGTTTAATTAGCATACTCCCAACATAATAACACAAAGAAGCCAAAATTTAACTTTACTTAACATTTTGGATGACTGCGTGTTCTGGTGTGTCATTGGTAGGTTACGTGCGTTTCCGGGAGCAGTACCCCGAGCTGTTTGAGAACCTGACCCCCGATGCTGTGCGCAGTACCATTGAGGCTGGCTACCCTGGCATCCTGTCCAGCAGGGACAAGTACGGCCGCGTGGTGCTGCTTTTTAACATTGAGAACTGGGACTATGAGGAGATCACCTTTGATGAGGTACAGCACAACCCCTTGGCCACTGTACATGAGACATTCTCTTTGTTGATTGCAAGAATTACACTAACCAGCATCATAGGGTCACAGGGGGCACCAAGAAATAGCACCCAGAATAACCTGACATTACCCCCTCTCGAGAGAGGTGCTATACCTGCTTTTGGTTTATTAAGCTTGTCTATAATCTGCATTACAATGAAGCTTTGTATTCAGGCTGTAAGATGACATGCTGTCTGTCATGTTAAAGTTTGTTCAGCACAGTTTCACACAAGCCCATTCCAGCACAACACACTTAGATTTTTACCTTAGGCATTTATATGTATGCTACAGAAACAACTGGGGGCTATATGCCTCTCTTTTTGTGTTTAATGAATTATTTCCTTGTGAGGTCTTAGTGGTCTTACTTTACAGATGCAAAAACCATCTATTAGCATCAATTAGCTACACATCTGTAAGAGAGAAATATCATGCTTCCCATTTTAAGATAATAGTGTTATGTGATTCCAAAAATAAAACGTGCTTTTGTATAACACACCTCAGACTTCTACAAAAGACGGCCTCCTCAATGTGGTGTTGTTTTAAAGGCCCTGAACAAGTGACCATGTGTATGTTGTACAGATCCTGCGTGCATACTGTGTGATCCTGGAGAATCTGCTAGAGAATGAGGAGACACAGATCAATGGCTTCTGCATCATTGAGAACTTTAAGGGCTTCACCATGCAGCAAGCATCTGGGATCAAACCCACTGAGCTGAAGAAGATGGTGGACATGCTGCAGGTGACAGTTATCCTGATTAATACTATTTATTAATTCCTAACACATCTCTGAGCCTGTAATGCATAAGCCTGAAATTGATATTGATTGTTTTCTGTGAATTTCTTTCCCGGTTTTGAAGACCATAATGTTTTAACTTTGCAGTGTGTAATGTTTTGTCTAAGAAGCATATGTTATTAAAAGTACAAAATGTGTACATACTGACAGAACATATACAGAGGTGATCTGAAGTAAGAAAAAACTGATTAATTGAATTGATTTTGGTTTGTATAAGGCTATGGATGATTTTTAAAATAGAGTCAAAGCAATTTAGTGAGTTACTGTACAACAATTGGCTGTGAAAGTGTTGTTATATTGAATACAATATTCCAAGAGTAAATGAATGAATAACATTTGGCTAGAATACATATTTCCAAATGATGTGCCCATCAATATTCATAATTATTCTTAAACTATGTACCAAAGACCTGTTTTGACCACTGTAGTTTTACTGAATGTTGAACATATTCTCCCATAATAACACATCCTGATACTTATCTCTCTCCTGTGTGTTCAGGACTCCTTTCCTGCACGGTTCAAGGCTGTCCACTTTATACACCAGCCTTGGTATTTCACCACCACTTACAATGTGGTCAAGCCCCTGATGAAGAGCAAGCTGCTTGAAAGGGTGAGGAGGAGGAGGGCTCTGGGCATTAGAATCTTTGACTTGGATGTTCCATCTGTATATGAACTGACTTTAAGAAAAACAACACAAATACAGTATGTATTCTTCATAGTGAGCTCAAAGCTCTTTCAATAATGGTTATAGGAGACATTCATTAATAAATGTTTCCAAAACTCCACACAATGCTCATGAAACCTTTGGTGCATCTATTTTAGAGAACAGATTACTAGATTGCTCTTATCTTTCAGCTCTGATTCATTTATACTAACTTTCTGTCCCTCTATCTTTTTGTCCCTAGGTTTTCGTACACGGAGATGAGTTGGAAAACTTCTTCAAGGAGATTGACGAGGATATCCTGCCCTCTGACTTTGATGGGAAGTGCCCTAAATATGACGGCAAGGCTACAGCAGAGAAACTGTTCGGGCCACGGAGCGAGTCAGAAGACACGGCCCTTTAACCTGCTACCCACGCTGATCTGAGGCTAGGACACAGAAATTTGGAAAAAATTTTTTTGGTTTTAGAGTTTATATTACAAAGTTCTTTTTAATTGGGTAGTTAATTGAAACCATGCACCAGACAAAGCAAAACAACACAAACCGCACCAAAACAACCTTAATAAAAACCTGAGTACAGATTTCCAGCTTGACACAACACCTCTTCCTTGTTACAAATATATTGCTCTAATGTGTTATCTACCAGGGACAGGTACAGGGCAAAGATCTTAATAGACCTTTTAAGCTGCATTTTTTTCTGTCTGTGATTGCCTTAATTGTAATCAATGATTGTGGAACATCTCACTGAGCCTTAAACCCAGATAATGGCAAAGAGCTGTGGAGCACTGGCAGAGCACTAGTCGGGGCCAAATAAGGCTGGTCACTGGTTCAGAAGCTGGTGACAGAATTTCAAGAACAAGAATACCAGCAAAGTGTATTTTATTGTTAGGGAATAGCTAGAAGGCCACAAACAGCTCATCCACACAACATTACAGTACAAGGAAATGTTAAATCAAATGTCTTGCAAGGAGTCACAAAAGCAGAATCTTTTTTCTTGCAATTAGCTACAATATCAAGAAACTGCTGCAGTGCACAGTGGAATTGTACCAGGAAATGGTGTTGTATACTAATGTTGTTCCTCTAGTTCAGTGGTAAGCTGTTTAGTGTGAGGTGGTGTTTTTCATGGTGTGGTTTGCTTTGTGTGCGAATTAATACCTCTGAGCTGATCGCCCAGGCTGATGAAGATCTGGCTGGCCCCAGCTTTTGACCTGGCCTGAAGTGCTTTGCTTTCTCGTGCTAAATTGGGAAAGCAGACACAGCTTTAGTCAGCTACCTAGAAGACCACAAAATGAAACATTTCAAAGGCTACCAGATGTTAAATTGAATTTGATGATTGAAAAAGAGATATTAACATATTTTATGTAGTTGAATACGTCATGAAATAAGAAGGAAAAAAGCAATATTTACAATAAAATATATAAAAAGATAAACAATTGCCTGTATGTGAGTCTTCATGTTTTGACCAAAGCCAAACTACTCTAGACTTATGTACAGTAATACAAGTAGGTAGCTGCGTCAGCATGTATAGGCTGCAAAGGAACAAGTGAAGGTTTATTTCATACTGAAATGAGAAGAAACGAAAGACAACGTTTCTGCTGTGCTATCTTCTCATAGGAACTCCAGAAATCTCAATAACCAACATGAGCATGTGTGCAAATACTCATACACACATATAATAAAAATACCACTGAGCACTTACCATTTCAGTGAGAGGGGTGAGCCTGTTTAGTCGAGCAAAGCCTTGCATGTCAGAGACAAGGGCAGTGAGCTTCAAACCCAGATCTGGTTCAGCATCCATTTTGTTGCGATACTTTGTCTTGGTTGCAGTGAGAGCAAAGAAGCCTTTCTCACAAAGGTAGGTAGTAGCAACAGGCATCAAAAACTGCACAGCCTTTAATGAGAGGGCTAGATATTCACTCTGTCTTTGGATCCAGAAATCCAGTCGTTTCAATTCTGACATCAAAGTCTCATCAGATGATAACTCGAGCAACTTTTCTTGTTCGGCATAGGTCAGATCCTTAGGTATTCCTATGACATCAACATTAAAGGGGTTCCTGATCCACTCTGGTGTGGCCTCAACTGGAAAATACTCTGAGAACTGTTCTTCCAATGACAAGAGGTGCACTGCAATCACATCAGAACAGCATCATCAAGTACCACACAATATGTGTGCGGATGGTTCTCCAAAGTTGGGAAAGCAGAGACATCATTTGCGTTGATTTTAATAACAAAAAGCTGCAGCTTTTCAGACAGGTCAGAAATTGTTAAAGAGAGCCCCCGCAGTCCCATATTAAGCTCATTCAAATGTGAGAATATATCAGCCAGGTAGGCTATTTTTACCAACCACACTGGATCATAAATAGACTTGCCAAGGGAGATTGCTGGTCATGCAAAAACTTGTACCTCAGAGTGCAGTTCCAAGAGCCTTGTGAGCATTTGCCCCTTGATAACCATCTCACTTCAGTATGTAGCAAAAGCTCCTCATGTTCATTGCCCATTTCATTACAAAACACACTGAACAGACGTTAATTCATTGGTCAAGCCTTGATACAATTCACAACTTTGACAGGAGAGTCAATCCATCCAAGACGAAGACGATAAAAACCAGGGAACTAGGAAGATAAAAAAATGACGGGACTAGGCGCTTCAGGCCTTCAGATGTCCATCTTCCAAAGTTGAGCCCGGAACCACAGAGATGCCAGGGTTTATATAACAAAAAAGGGAGGAAACACAGCTGAAAGTGCTAAAACTAAAATCAATACAAAAAAGTAGGAGCACCCTCTAGAGGAGGGATGACGACTGTGACACGTTTCCCCTTATAGGCAGTCAGGAATCCGTCTTACAAGTTAAAAGAAGTTTTTATTTCATGCGCTTGGGAGGGAATAATCTTGGTTTCAGATGTCTTTCTGCAATAGGAGTTAAGAAACCCTTGTTTAAGAACGCAGACGAAGAGATCAGTGTGATAATGGCCATAAGAGCTGAAATGAGATACTATAGGAATAGAGAAATCCGTGATTTTCACAACCCTAACAGGTTCTCTGAAGCAGTCTCTGAGTGTCCTTTCTGACCTCTTTGTCTTTAAGCATTAAGCAATTCTGTAATTCGTCTCCAAAAGTGCCCCATTTATGATTTATGAAAATGAACCTCAAAAAACAAAATCTAGGCCTTGAAACAACAACAAAACCTGTTGATAATGTATTCTTTTCAATATTGTACCTTCTTTAGGCTATTTTTCAATCAGATGTAAAACGTTAAAATGGTACAGTATTAACATGAGCATGCATTTCAGGCCAGACTAGGGTTAGGGTTAGAAGAACCATCCAATTGTGACTCCATTTATACTTCTGGTTCCATTTGAAACGTCAAAATTGAAAGAGTTTACATAATGGAATGGGTTTTCTTGACATTTTCAATTTCACTCAGTTGTGGCAACCAAATAAAAGTTGCAGGGAGGAGAAATGTATGACTCTTCCTAGCATTCACTTAGGAACCAAAATACAGCAACAAAGCTAAAAAGTGTCCAAGTACTGTGGGAATCCTAACCCTAACCCTAGTGGGGGTTTAAACTGAGCAATTCTGTAATCTGTCTCTGGGAGCCCCCATATTACGTGATTTGAAAATGTCCCTCAATTCACAAAGTATGGGCTTTAAAACATACAAATCTATGCAAGAACCATTTTAAAAATGTATCCTCTTCAATATTGTACCTTCTTTAGGCTATTTTTCATATAATTGAAAAATGCTCTTAAAATGGTATAGTATTTACATGAGCATGCATTTCAGGCCCGGATAGGGTTAGGGTTACAAGAACGCATTGTGACTCCATTTATACTTCTGGTTCCATTTGAAACGTCAAAATTGAAAGAGTTTACACAATGGAATGGTTTGCTTGACATTTTCAATTTCACTCAGTTTTGGAATACCATTCTTGAAATGTGCAGTGTAATACAGTATATAAGTATAATTAAAACCCAAAAGTGTGAAGTCTAACAGAGAGCTCAAAGACAATCCCCAGAGTGTACTCCCATAGTTGCCTTTTTGCTCTATGAGTTAAGTTTTAACATCTCATATAAAGGAGTAAAGGATAGTTCCTTCTGCAGCACAGATGTTCCCAGTCACCATACAGCGGCACTGATTTGGAAGTTCTTATCTAGATTAAAAAGTGCCACCTACAGATCTACCAAGGTCAGTGGGAACCTGGATACCCTCAGAGGAAACTATCTACAAGATTCTTGCACATGTGACAAGACAGAATTATGGTAAGTACAAAGACTGTCTGAAACCACACCTTTTTTTAACTTTATACTTCAGTATAAAGTATGTATTAAAGAGACATTTAATAATAATTGGTAAAGCAGTGATAACTAGCATAGATATAAACAACTAAATATAAACCAAAGTTCTCAGCAGCTGCTGCCTTTTTTTACAGCAAGTATAGATCAGTCATTGGCTTTTACTGCCACCTAGGGATAAATCTGCCAAAGAACCCCCTCCACACACACACAAATACAGGCCCCCAGACTGTGAATAAGGAACTCAGGAAATGTGAAATTGGGGAAAGACTAACACTTGTTTTCATTGGAGGCTGAAGAACAGGAGGGCTTTGAAGCCAAAGGACAAGAAGAGTCTTGTCCCCGAGTGAAAGACCAGAGAAGCCGCTACAAACTTCCTTTTCTCAATCCCTTAAAATTGCAGTGCAAACCGACATTTAAAGACATTTTTTCTGTCACAGATATATATTTTTCTTGCTGTAAGCAGAGTGGGTGTGGAGGAGTATGAACCTTACTTTAACACTGGTATCCTGTGGATACTCAGAATCTGGTGTTAAGAAAATTCGTCTAAAACATAAGAAACAACACTCATGTTCATTTAAAAGTTTTATTTCAACACAAATTAAAGTTTAAAACAATAAGGTATTAAACCAGTTATGTGCAAACAGTATTTCAGTGCCTAATTAATCCTTGACTGAGCAAACTGATAAATCTCAGAAAAAATCAGATCCAGGCACAAAAAAGAAAAGAGCAGATTTTAAACACACTGCATTGCAACGTCAATGAGTGCTTCATCCGTTAAAACTGGGCACCTTAATTGGGTGTTTTAAATTAGAGATTATAATGCCTTAAGAAAACTTCCATTCCATGTATCTGAAACTAAAGAAACTGACAACCACAGATGGATTGAATATACAAATGGTCTAATAATAATCACACAAAAAGAATAAGGGCTTTCTGTTTCTTTCCTACATATACTGTACCATAGGGGTCAGTTTCAATGTTTCAGAAACAGTATGCAAATATGTTGGCCTCATTTAAGACCACTGATTTACAAGATACACTGAAAATGGCATTTAGCAGCACTGCTTTTTAATGAACGTCTTGTCATCAAGCAGAAATCTTTCAATCAAAGGCATCTTCGACGAAAATAAAAAACCAGCAGAAACCCAGACTTTGTGTTACTGGGACACCTCTTGTTGCTCTCAAAATACTGCGCCATCCTGCAGTAAGAACATCTGAATCTGCAGAATCTGAGCACCTCTTATGTTTCAAACATCACAGTTGGATTTTCTGCATTACTTACAGAAAGGCTAGGACTTTTCCATCTTCAGGAGATGAATCCTGCTTCCTCCAAAACATTTCATATGAGGTAATATTTAGGGACATATAGCTTCACAACCTACAAATAATGTCCTAGTGCCACAAGGTCTTTTGAACAGACTGCGACTGTTCAAAACACATGAGAAAAGAACGGAAGCGATTCCCACACAGTATTCGTGTGTAGCACCACCATCACACATTAGGCCACTGTGGTCATGATCCCACACAAAAACTGATGTTAATTCTGGAAACTGACACCGACACGCACACAGTGGAATTCAACCGTAGATGTGTGCAAAAAACGTGCATAACTCAATACCGAGAACATTTCCTAGGTCCCCTTAAATTAATCAGCAGCTGCAAGGCTCTGTCTGAAGAGTGTTACATAAGTCCAGTTAAACACTTAGCTAGCTCGTTAAGATGGAATGAAAATGAAAACCTGATGATAATGTACCTCCTGAGGTCCCAGGATTGAGCATTACTGCTCTAAGACTGTGAGGCAGCTAAAAACCCTCCTGTGACTGTCTGGTCTTACTTACAATCCTCATTCAGGTCCTCTGGCCAGTACTGGTCCTGCATGTAGTGGCTGGGGGAGGAGATGGGGTCCGGCACAAGGCTTGTGTCTGCCATTAACATCTTGTCCTGCATTTCCTGCTCCCACTGCCTTTCCACCAATCGGTACAGATCCATGGCTGCTGTGGCGTCTTCCACTGAGCTGTGTCCAGCCCTGCCCACCTGGAGAACAACACAATGACAGAGGTGACATCAGGAACCTGGTGTAATCTCCAATCTAGAAAAAAAACAACCTTCTCTATCTTTTAATCTTTTAAATATTTTTTTAAAGTTTTGAATCTCTTCTTTAAAGGACCCGGTTCCTTGTTCAAATGCAATTTTACTTCTTCTTCAATAAAACACTACAAAAGAATGTTTTTTTCCATTCCCCTAAAACAAGTTTCATTTTGCCAACTATCCAAACAGCGTAAGAATTAAAAAGGCTGCCCTCTTCCCTTACAAAAATAAATCTGATCACAATTCAGCTTGCAAGAAGTATAAAAATTAAAAACTCTTTTAAATTAATGTTCACCAAGAAGTACATTTTCAAATAAACTTACAAAACTAGGATTGATGTGTTTCAACTATATAGCTGTAATAAAGCACCTAGTGTAGAGACTGGAGTGGTTTGTGAAAGATGATACAAGTCTGCTCTCTATTTCATTGCAGTGGAAAAGCATCCTCACCTGAATGTCCCTCTTAAGAAGCCTCCTGGCAAGTTTTTTCAGTGAGATGCCATCCTTGGCCTGGAAATTGGCCAGCTTTTTCAACAGTGGCTGACGGCTGGTATCCCTGGTCATGTGACAAGGGTGAAAATAGCCTAGGGCCCGGAAATCATTATGCAAGGCGTGCCCGACTACTATTTTCCCTTTCAAAATCTGCAGAATCTAAAATGAAACGACAGGAAAATTAAGCAACAGACAATACCAAGGGAACATCTGGAATGGGGTCCTGCATTTGCTTCAGATATCACAAATCGTGAAGCAGGACTGTGCAAGTTGTCAGGCAACTGCAGAATTATGAACAGAAAATGGGGATCACCAAAATTTATCTCTGAGAGACACAGGATCTTCTAGTACTGTATGACCTCTCCCTTTTTTAACCAACAGAACTATCAGGCTTAATGGAGACAAATCACTATAACCTCATTCAGTTTTTAAATTAATATGTATTAGGGATTCACCGATATGGAATTTCTGGGCCACTAACAATAACCAATAATTAATAGCTTGTTGTGGCCAACACAGATACCAATAACTGATAATATTACTTTTTTACATTTTTAAAGTACACACTCTAATCCACAGCTGATGTGTAATGAGGGTAAGAAAGCTACAGCTCTGTAAAGCTTAGCATACTCATTGGACTAACGTCAGAAGTCCATATGTCTGTTGCGAAGCGAATGCCTGATGGTAGTTTTGATCAGGTTGTGTATGTGTGTGGCGACAACATTGTACAGAGCTGGCAAGGCAACATCAGAAAAGTAGTGGCAGCTTGGGAGAGTATAACTAGGTTCCAAATGCTCAATTAGTTGATGGAATCCTCGATTCTCCACAGTCAAGGAGGGTTGGTCATCAAGTGCCATAAACGCCATGGTTTTGTCTGTGATTGCTTTAGCCTTCGGACTGTCCTTGGCAAATTGTCTGCAATTTTCAAATGCCTTCGTTGCACTTGCCACTGTTTTTGTTTTCTTGCCTATGCTAGCTGCCTCATATTCTTTAAATAAATAACTGGAATGACGACTTTTCAAATGACTCATTAGATTAGCGGCACTGAAACTCTTTACTTTGTTTCCTCCTTGCTGTACATTTGTTGCAGACTGTAATTCTGTTGTCCTCAGTTGAAATGGTGAAAAGGTTCCAGACTTCCGACACTTCCACTCCGCAGCAACTGTACTAGTGCATCAGCGCACATAAAAAAAACTAGTTGTGCAAACAAAAACAGGGTGCCGCATTATCGGTTGTATTTATTGCCCGTAATTCCAATAGTGGAAGGATAATAATAATTAAATTCTCCTATTTATTGGAGAATAATATATCGACCTCCGATACTTCGTGCACCCCTAATATGTATAGCTACTTTGTTTCGCATGATATTTGCGTTTCTGGCTACATATTTTTCATGTGGCATGAGTGCCAGACCTGCGGCCTCACCTCTCTCTGTGCCTCTCGGAAAGGCACGGCGTGGAGCAGGTGGTGCTGGCGAATGCCGCTCCAGCGGGTGCGGTAGTCCTTGACGGGCTGCAGGGGCTGGATGTACCTGTCGTACAGGACGTCTCCGTAGTAGCCCACCAGGCTGCAACGCGCCACCTCACTGCTGCGCCCCTCAGGGCCCGTGCCCACCATCTCGCAGTCCAGAGCCACCAGCTTGGCCGGGCTGAGGCAGGGGCAGGGCGGGCTGGCCACTGAAGAACTCCCACGGGTGCCCTCCGGGTGGTCGTTGGCTGGGGGTGGCATGGCGGGGCTGCGCGTGGCTGGGTCCTCCTCGGCAACGGTGCCCTTCGAGAGGCCCGTTCCCACTGCCGCCGCCTTCAGAGACCGCTGTTCCTCTCCTCCACCGCCCGAGGAGTGGTGCGCAGAGGGGACTTTCAGCCTGTTCTTCTTCTTCAGAACCCCAGCATTCTCCAGAGCGGCCCTCCAAGCCAGCAGCCGCTGTCTCTTGCGAGGATGGCTCTTCTTGCCACCCGGTCTCTCTGCCAGCCTGTGGCACCCTGCATCACTTTGTACAGCAGTGGGTCTGGGACAGTTCAAGGGTGCCCCGGGGGAAGAGACAGGAGTTCTGTCCCTGCTATTAGAAGACCCTCCTAATTCACATCTACCAGGCATTGCTCCTTCATACGCTCCAGGAGACAAGATCTGTATGGGGCAGAGAAGCACAGAACAATCAAATATACTCATCGTCATCTTTTTACGTGTATATATACACAGTTATTAATCAGGAGAACAATGCTTTGAAATAATTTGCTGCAGCTCACTGACAGATTTATTGTTCATAGGGTATGATTCTTTGTAAATGTATGGATATATGCCTCAACTTTCTAGACTTAGAGAAAAGCCATGCTCACTTGATGAAATACACTCATGGAAAGATGAAAATATGAAAGGGAAATGAAATATCTAATCATAACAAACAGGGAAAGCAAACCGTTAAAACAATATTTAATTTTAAATAAGTTAACTAGTTAACTAGACGCTCATGTAAGGAAATGATCCGTTTCCGTCTCAGTCTCCGGCTTATCGTCTTAAGCGACACGTCTTCAGATCTAATAACAGCTGTTTCTATTATGAAGACAACTATTGACAGTAACAATGTATTATGACGCATTAAGAACATTCCGAAGCATCATCGAGCAGAGATTATGAATTAAAAGCGTGCGCATTTAATAAATCGTTTTAGAACAGGCGATCATATCACGAGGTCTAGGACTTCACAAAACCGAAAACTGTCGGACCACAGTTCATTTCAACAGGAGTAAGTATTTCATATCTATACAGTAACAGTCTCTATATCGGACGTCCACTCATTCACAAACAGCGCAAAACAAAAGTCCAAATCATCTATGCTGAGGTTTAAATTAAAAATCAATTCAAATGCTAACACACTTACCCCGGCCTACACGTGCACTTTCTCTCAGATGTGACATATGCCCGGACTTGTCTCAGTCGGTGACCCCCTGATTGGTTCACTCAATTTTAATCTCCACCTACCTACGACAAGGTAGCAAATCCCCTTGGCTGCTAGAAAAGGACATAATAGGCTAAAGGCTCCGTCACTCACAGGCGACTTGGCCCACGAGGTTTCCCTGATATCACTTTGGAAGCCGCATGGCTATCGTATAATTAATGAAAAGCAAAATATCTCTCCCTATTCCAAAACCCGAACCATAATTCCAGGTAGATTTTCTTGTTACGAATTTGGATTGTCAAATTGGTGGACCCCGGGACGCTTCTAGTGTTTCACTGTTAAAAGGAGTAGCGGATATCAATGTATCGTCATATCCTGTCAAGGACATTACAGGCTACCTTTGCCAGAAAATTCTCCAGTTACTGTAGGCATAGCTGCCTAGATGTAAAGCTACGTACAGTTGATCGGTAATGCATGGTTTTCTGTGCATTTTGTGCCCCAAATTAAAAAAAAAAATCAATCGCATAACGATGTTTCGAAAAGTACGGTAAATTCGACTACAGGGGCATTGCATAAGAATAGTAATACATAAAATAGTTTGTGTTCTTAAGGGCAAAGTTCACATTAATTGTTTAGAATGCAGGGTTTTACTACTGCTTTCAAGAAGCTTCTACAATCTGACCACGTTATCACCCAACGAAAACTATTTTAATTCAAGAATTTGATTTTAAAATTAGCATAAGAAAAGATGAAGGCTTTAGGGCTAAAAATAAACATCAGCACTGACAACGTTTTTTCTCATCTTGTAGATCAAGAACTGTTTACTACAACACCACCTTTAGAATTCCAAAATTTATTCCTAAACAAGGCTGTGTAACACATTACAATTTTGCATACGGATTTGCCTTCACTTCATGTTACAGCAATTCCACAAGTCTTAATACACCTGCAATTTCAATTTAATGGAAAGTAACGATCTAAAACAAGCCTTTAGGTTAACGATATGATCCTTGAGTAAATAACATTCAATTCTAGACTACGTTCAATTAACCATTACCTAGGATAGCTTGTTCCCTGATGCGTGGAGTCACAACTCTGGCTGTACATGTGCTATCGATTAGGATATATGCATCAGTGTATACCTGGCACTGCTTGCTTTTAAAATTTGCTTTCAGAAAGCTTAAAGAAAAACATTCAATATACAGCACTCAAACACTTCCTCCAAAGAGAGAAAAACATTGACATTAGTAGATTGTATTTTATAGAAATGAACTTTACATTTTCAGATAAATTATAAAGCAATATAGAGAGGAAATTCTACAGTTCACCCCAAATCTGAAGTTTATGCTGCTGAAGTAAAGCAAAAAGAGGTTTGTTTTATGGGACTTTATTTTAAGTTCTTCCAGATGTACAAAAAAAGTGGTACAAAATAAAATTTAAAAAAAATCCCCAGAACTATTTTTTCCCCTCCCCAACAAAAAAAAACTGCCAGCTGTGTTTGGAATGGGTCTCAAACGGTAAGTGCATCTAGCAAAGGAACGAGATCAAGAAAGTGGGGAGCAGAGAATTGTATCCACTTTGAGCCATTCAGGAGAGACATTCTCTCAGACGACCTTCCTCCGTGTTCCCAGAGCAGCTTGTCCCAGAAAGGTACATCATCACTTGGATCAGGTCGTTCTTTGATACTCTAAATATTGAATTTTAAAAACAATTCCCCATTACATTTCCTTGCACGAAAACCTTGTCATGGTTTACAATTCGCTTTTCTTCTTCTTTGATTTCTTCTCTTCCTCTTGGATAACTAGGGGATTGGATGCCTCTTTCTTCAGGTAGCTAATGAAGTCGCTGACCTCACGGCCTCCCTGTAAGTAACACCATTGACAGTGAGAACTGCTGTATCAGAAGGTATAAAGCAAAACACATTTGACTTGCATTCCAATTGTCCTCCCATCACCACATCACTCAAAACGACCAAGATCTTAGCCTATACTTTCAAATAGTGCGTGTGTATGAGACTCACGTCCTCATCTGCCATTTAAATCTTGGGTTTGAGTAATTGTTGCACATTCAGCTATAAATCCCAACTAAAAACTGGTTTACTTTACTTTATGTCGAGTACATTTAAAAAAAGCTAAATGGACACCGAGTATACACAGTTGGCACAAACCTCATATTTCTTTGGGCTCTGCTTTTTCCCAGCAGGAGAGAAGTAAATGGTTGGGAATCTGAAACAAAAGAGGGGCTTGATGACGAAAGTGAGTAGTATAAACTTTTAATGCCTCTACGCCACATCCAAGTCATAGAAACATGGGGCTTATAAATAGAAAAGATTCTGTTCAATTGCTCATTGTAGAACACAAGCAGTTAATCTGTTAACTTTTACAAGCTGCTTAAATGATGAAACCAAGTCATTAATTCAATTCTCATCTGAAAAATATCCTTACCCCCTGACTTCATATGGAGAGGGCACATCATTAGCAGTGGCGTCCATCTTGGCTATTACAATGTTGGGGTCATCGCTCAGCTGTGGATGAGAACAATTTCCCCAATTTAAGCAGCAAATTTCAGGTTTGCATTATTCTTATGCCTCATTTGGGCATGAAGGAAAGGGTTAAGAGCACATTGTAGTTCTTGGCTTCCTGGGCAGAAAACTGCCCGAGGAGTAACCCAAGCAACAGTTACGATTAGTTTTTTTAAGTCCAGCAAATTTCCGTGCCATATTGTGTTCAAGGACTAGTAGTGGATGTCTGGAGTTGTAAATAAGCTGTCTTTGTCCTGCAATATCTTTGCTTTACTGCACAAATGTTAACTGTTTTTGTAACTGCTTATCTATATAAATGGGAAAAGTTCAAGCTGTTACTTTGAATTGCCACTCCTATGGCTGAGCAATTCCTGGATGCATACATCATAAACTCACTGCACTTTTCTAGGCAAACCTGACTAAGAATTTATTTTCTACAGTCCCAATCTAATCATGACTGACTGGCTGGCTCTACCCCAGCCATCCAAATCCCACAAAAATAAATTTAACTTTTTCCAAGTATGGAAGAAATTGGAAGTTCTTATTTGGCAATAACATGGGGGTATCGTTTGTTCCTATTAAGGGTAGTTCTAGTAAGATTATGAAAATGGGACCAGAAGTTATTGTCATTCTTATTTTGTAATAAACTATTAGGATATAGCCACACTACCCAGAACAGAGACATGACTCTTAACATCGTCCCTTAAGTTAAAGAAATTAACTTGTAAATTAAGCATTACTATTGGTGCTTCACCATACAGTAAACAAAGTTATTCTCAATGTCAGCTGAAGGAAAAGCTTATCCGATATGAAGAACGCATTTTGTAGAGTACTATGTTAATAACTTTAGACACAACCAAGATCCCTTTGGAATACCCATACATTTTCTCCATTTTATATATACTTTTCTTTTATTAAGAGTTAAGTACTGCCCATTTTTTAAAGGATAAACACTAACAGGCAAAATTCCTTTTCTGCAACCACTTCATTGGTTGTTTAATTTGTGAAGTATTTGATGTGAAAGACAACATGATATCCATTAACAATATAAACAGTATCAGTATTAAATACACCCAATGAGTATTGGCTCCAAAATGTATTTGTTGCCTTTTTTAGTGTGTAAAAATCACGTTTTAAACTTTACTGCCAAAGTTTAATTGACTTTTTGGCAGCAGAATAAAAAAAATGTAATGCTTCTCAGCACATTCAAAGTATTTTAGAAGATGCTTTATTTTTAAGCACGTTCATGAATATGACTGCTTATGTACAGATATAAACCAACCAAAATAAATCTAACTAAATTTTAAGTCTGTGACGCCTACTGTTTCTCTCCATATATCATGAGAATTTCTTAACCAAGCACACTATCTATTCAAATCACTAGTGTGTACAATAAAAACAGGAGTTTTAAGTGTATCCTTATTTTACAAGTCAATATTTAACTTAAACAGAGCTACCACAACACACGCCAGCTATCAGTTTTCTTGAGTTAATGTACTAAACCAAAAGCAAAACTTAAAGGGAATCTATTTGGAAAGAAAGCAGAAGTGATTTCAGTCTGAGCCAGTTTATTTACCTTTCACATTTCAAATGTCAAAAGAAACTCCTTTGGTATCTCCATTCTCTTGTTGGTTTATGGTCGAATCACACTCCTAAAGCCGGCATCACACTACAGGACGCGACACGACTTCTAGTTAAAATGTCAAATTTAACAACTGCAGTTGCTGAATCTCGCTGCCTTTTCTGTCCTAGAGGGTGTCAAATTATATGGCTAGGAATTGCAGGGGGCGACAAGTTACACTATTCCCTCACAAGTTTTCATCATGTTTCCAAATCTCGTATTGCGCCGTGAAAGTACTGTGGGGTCACCTCATTTTGGATCACCACACAAAAGTAAACAAACATCTTTAAAAAGTCTAACACAGGCACTGTTTTCCCCACAAATAAACATGTTAAAAAATAATTCTTTATAAATATAGAAAAAATGTGCAAACATAAAAGTTAAGAACATAAAACACCTTTAAAACAAATTAGTACTGCACTATAACGTGTAATAATGAGCACAGATCTGGCTCACTGCCCACCCCTATGACTAGTTTGCTTTTATTATGGCAAGTTACAGAGGGTCATGGGGCTGTTAAGAGCGCTATGACTGAGTCGCTAAGGATGTCACACTACACAACTGATGGTAACAGGCACACGCTGCAACTCTCTATAACTCAGCGATTTTCTTACGATTATGTAAATAAAGGCTACGACTGAAAATCCTAGGAAAAGATGTGTAGTGTGATGCCGGCATAATTGCCAACTTGATAATGTAGTTCCTAAACTAGGGGGTCAGTTCAGCAAGTAGCAGATAAGATGCATTTCTACAGCTGGTTAACCTGCCTATAATACACTATCTGTGCAGGACCTCAAAAAGTAAGCAAACCCCTCACCTTCTCACCCAGCTCCTTGTATTTGGGTTCCAGACTCTTGCAGTGTCCACACCAAGGAGCATAAAACTCAATCAGAACATCCTTACTGTCATCATTCACAATTTCCTCAAAGTTCTCAGCTACCAACACCTGTGAGGAACACAACAGCATTTAAGTCATGCGAGGAAATTACAATACTGAAATCAGCAGGGAACAGGGAGATTAGGAGTCTGTTGCAAGATTTCAGAACTAGTTAGAAAGCCCAGTGTTTTAGGCAAGGTAGAGAACAGACTTCTCAATATCTTGCTATATAACAAAGAATGTCATCTTTCTAAGAATTCCAGCTGTAAACTGGCTGCAACCTCACCTTGACTGGACCATCATTGCTCTCGGGCACTGGCTCAGACTTGAGGTAACGTTTCAGTTTGCCATCAAAGTAATCCTGCAGGAATCGCTCCAGTGCTTTGCCATCACGTCTGCACAGCAACACAAAACATGTTACTGTCAGCACAAGACACTACTGTAGCTTATCGGCCTAGTATTCCATCCATTTCATTTTACTCAAAATACTGTCCTCTCAGGAACCAAAGTCAAAAGTCATTTTATACTCATATTAAATAAAGTAAAACTAATGACTATTTCTCTTCTGAACAGTACTGCACACAACATTGCAGGAAGCCTCATTATACTCACGAGAATTCCTCCTGCATAACGTATTTATCCCCCTTGGCAGTTCGAATGCCAACAACCGGCAACTCGCCACTGCTGCTGTCCAGTCCGAACTCGGAGATTTCATGGCTGAAGGAATTCTTGTTGGCTACAGCAAAGCTCAGCTTCTTTCCTTGATCCAGGAAACTTTTGGCCACTTTCATCACTCTGCACGAAAAAGGAGATGTCGGCGTCAGGATGAGGAGTGCCCCAGTCTCACTGTACAACTACATAAAGAACTCCCCTCTACCCCTTAATTAAGAAGGCCAGGTCCTATAGCATACCTGTTCCTCCAGTAGTTGGTGCCCTTGGGGTTCTTCTCATAATCCACCTCAAAGTAAGCCACCAGGAGGTCCTTGCCCTTCAGCTGGTCCTTATTATCCTCAGTCATGTGCGGGCAGATTCCCAAACTATAAGAATGGGCAGAGTGTGACCTGCTGTTCAAAACCCTCAGGCCTCAAACATGACAATATGCAGCCTATAAAACAATGTCCTCTATGCTGCTGTGAAGCATTAGAAGTTATCCAAGTGTTAAATAGCCTGATCTGTGCCAATTCTATCAAAAGAGCAGAAAGCTCCAAAATTGCTGTAGCACTCATGGAATATATCATGGAAATCAGAAAATCAGCCGTTACATTTAAGTGCTTTGTTAAAAATGGCTAAAATTGGCTATGTCTGAATAAAGTACTCCAACACAAACTTAAAAAAAAAATTACATATTATCCTGAATGAACTTCTTGATTTTCCCACTGGTGTATTTGTCTTCGCTGTATTTCACGCTGCTCTCCTCAAACTTGTTGCTCAGGCGTGGTGGCCGGAAGAGAACAATTCCCCTGGAATATAAATAACATTCAAATTGGCCATTACCTTGGTCACACTATGTACTAGAGCAGAAAACGATCTTTCACACACTAGGGTTATGGTGGTTACTAGCCAAGATCTGGGAGGCCTTGCCTTTGTTAGATGACAGTAGAGATGAAGAACAAGTTGTTTATAAGGTTACCTTGGATTGAAACTTTACTAGGATGTCATCAGAATCAACCACCAGAGTTAAAATGATCAGTGTACTATGAATAATCCTCATCTGGCTGACTTTTGTTTTTACTAACAATCCATTTAAGACATTATGACATCTATGATGGTCAGCATGAACTTAGAAAAAAAAATCAAGTTGAAGATCAAAGAAAGTCTCAGGCAGGATTCTAGAAGTGTAGAAAGGCCCCAGTCCTTAATATAATCAGCCATTTTACCACATTTTGGGGTTTTCTCTCTCCGAAAATAGCTTCAGTCACATTCTATATTAAAGAATCGAGACATTCCTGAAGGTGTAATACAAAGCTGAGAAGCAGATACAGAAGCTGTGCAAGATGCAGCTCAGAGATACCTACTCTCCATCAATGCCATGTTTCTGAAGCAGTTCCTCAGAATTAGTGTGTGCAAAGCGATAGGACTCTCGCAGGGCGCTAGCGGACTTCAGGAACTCGGCCTGAGTTGTGCTGCCACCCTCAGCAAAGAAACCTGGAAAAAAAAAAACAGAGGTCAGCAGGAAAAACATTGTCCTGAGTCACCTTTACCCAAGCACTAACTAACCTATAAAAAAAAAAACCCATGCATCAAGACAGGGCCTTATATTCAAGACTTCACTTATCAGTGCAAATAAGTTCATAAAACCAGTTAATCAGAAATACTTACAATAAGAATTAAACACTTGGTAGTAAAATGCATCACTACACTGATCACCTCACCGACAAACTTACCTATAACGCTAGCATCACGGTCTCCAATGAACTTTTCAAACTCCTCTACAGTCTTGATCTCCACTGAAGCTGGGCCAGCCTGCTTTTTCAAGTGACTCACAATCCCATCTGGAAAAACAGAGCATCACAGGAGTCGGAGTCAATACAAATTCACTCAGGAAGCCTTCACAACTCTGCTGGACAGCAGTGCCTACTGGTTTCCACCCAGCAGACTAGCAAGATCCTTCTAATGGAACAGAAGATCAGACAAAAATACCTGCTGTGCGAGGCCCATCATATGCACCAGATTCCTCTCCACCTCTGAAGATCTTCAGTGTGGGGTATCCACTCACCCCAAACTTGTTACACACATTGGAATTTGCGGTACAGTCAACCTAGAGAAACAGAAGTGACCATCACTTTCACCGGTTTCAATCAAAGATTAATTAAGACCACTTAATCACTTCCATTTTTTTCCTCAATGAGTCAGCATTTTGTACACAAAGGTGCAGCATACTGAACAAAATCTGAAATTAAAGAGTGTGTTCTACATTTTATGGATATAAATGCCCTTCTCGGCATTACTGATTTATGTGTTTACCATCTTACTCTTATCTGAAATTTTAATTTGTATCAAATCTACACAGCTAAGCAATTCACCAAAACAAGCTTGAAACCGTACCTTGCACAAGGGTTTAACAGCACATGATGCATGTACTGGAGAAGGCCCAAGGTCACCACGCATTATTAACAGTGTAAACAACTTCCTATCTGTCTAAACACTCTTTGGCTGTCCCTAATAGTTGCGATTGCCAGAGGGAAAACATTAAACCAATCCACAAATTCTGCAGGCTAAAACAAGATTTAGCACCTCTAATCCCACGTCACCCCCAAATGTGCATCAAAATGTCTCACCCACTCAGAGCTTAAAAAAAAGTCAGAGTATGGATTCCCAAACTATCAGAAATGAATAACCACCACCAGCTCCTTGAACTTGAACTTTATTGCCATTTGTAACCAGTACATGTACTGGTACAATGGAAACACAAAATGCATTGTACCAGTACATGTACTGGTTACAAATGGCAATTATTCATTTTCTGATTTTATATATCCTGTGTGATTTTTAATAACAAAAGTCAGGGGGGAATAAGACTGGATCTTAAATCTCAGAAGTCGCACCTTCTAACAGAATTGGGTTTAGTATTGAAATTTGAGCCTACAGTAAAGCCCACTTTTCTTTAAACAGAACAAAGCCCTCTCATTCACTTATTCTTCTCAGCCATTAGGGCCTACCTGTAATCATGACCGCTAACTGAATTAGTTACATGTCTTTCCTCTCAGAGCAATACAACCCGTATTTGCGTGTACATAAATGTTCATCACAACCTACGATTGTCTTTTTCTTCCTATGCATTAAAACCTATTAAAAAGTTTTTAAAAAGACCAACAATGCAGCCTATATTGGAAGCAGCTGTACCTTTGCCAGAGGGACGATGCCTTTGAGACGCGTCGCAGCAGATTCATATTCAGGGGCCAGGCGTTTACAGTGACCACACCTGCAAAGCAAAGATCTTTTACCCAGGTCCGTGAAAGAGGAGAAGGACAGGGGCTTCTGCAACAGTTTATATTTAAATGGTCTTTCTCTGCCACACCAAGGGAACAGCAAACAGCCTCAATTTAATTTAAAAGAAAAGCTAATGTGCTATTGAAGTTTACTTCTTACATAAGGCACTGTAACAACCTTTGGGATGTAAAGTTCCATAGAGATGTGCAAGTTATGGGTGAAGTCTGTGGATGAAGTGTGCCGACTAAGAAAAAGTTACATTGGAGAACAAATGGGAATGTGGACACTGCCTTTAGATTAAGACATGACAATGCTGTTAACGCCCTATCAGTACAAGACACTTAAGAGCTCATGAAGCTGAAGTGTCAGGGTCCGGTGCCTTTTATCCTACCAAACCCCGCAGCAGAAAACCGCATGCTTAACTGTCCACCTCATCTCATCAGCCAATCACAAGACGACACCCAAACTCTGCAAGCCTATCATGACCTGACAACAGTAAGGCGGAAATCTCCGCTTTCCTAGCAACCTTAACCTGAACCCACGGCAACCATGGGAGCTGTAGTTCTCAAGGTCTCCGTTTAGTGACGCTTAGACAAGAAAAAAGCGCGACCATTCATTTCAAAGTTTTAAGTTCAGCGTAACAGCGTTTTTTTCCTGACAGTAGAGCAAGCTATCATTTTCAAGTTAAGAAAAAACGTACTGTTCGATACATTAGTTAGCCAGCAGCGGCACCTTAGACCAGTTTCCCCCCCACCAAGATCACAAGGACGATATTTTATTTTGAGACAGTGCCAATTTTTTTAAAAAATCTCCCTCATAGAGGGCTACACACTCACTCGGAAGAAGTGTAAATTGTGCTCAGCCAGTTGGCAATCCGTAAGTGCTATTTGTTTCATCACAACTTGTGAAAACTGACAAGTTGCTTTGAAGCTGCATGTTGAAATCTTAAATACTTCACTCTTGGACTCATCGCGTCTGTAATAATTCAGATGATTTTAGGATTTCTTTATTTAATTAACCCCCTCTTTACTGTGGTAGTTAAAATATACCGGTCCTTTCTGAAAGCAGACGAGGCGTTGAGTAACGTGATGAGCACTAGTCTTTAAAGACTTTCACGAAAGCGTCTTTAAATTTTACACTATGCATTACACCATGTAATTTAGCCAATTCCAGCGTCATGCAGTGTCCCGGGGGATTTTTACTCTGACATTATTCATGCATCGCCCGATTCAAGGTGCAAAGTCTACTCCAAATTCCCCAGATGGAAGGCGTATCTTCTGGAAACCTTATTTCTTACCCAGGAGTTGAAGAGAACCGGATGTAAGTTTCTTACATATATGCGCTTCCGTGTATGAACATTAACTGGTTTTAGTGAATGAACCGTTTTTAGATCTGCCAATATATCCGCATGTTACGATAGCTTGTGCACAATGAAGTAAATGGCTACAGTTACTTAAAAATAAAACGAGGCCTTTTACCAGTTTTATCAATTAACCGTCTGCTCTGGGGTGTGAAAATCGAAAGTAATTTCTTGCACATTTAAAGTAGGCGTCTTTCAAAACTGAAACCGTTAACGTAAGAGTCAACATGTCAACGTTAGTTTCGTATACTCAAATTAAGTTGTACAGAATACGTCGCGCACCCATAGGTAAATCAATCGAGCAATGCGTATCCACTCATCAGCAAAAGAAACATCTGATCTATGCAAATACGAATTCCCATGGGACCGCAAATTTGATTCCCAAGCTATTCTGAGAATAAAATAAATAAAAAAAACTCACCAAGGCGCAAAGAACTCCACCAGAACCAAGTCATGGTCTGCAATTCTGCTCTCAAAATCGTCATCGGTGAACTCTAGCACATCACTGGCACTTACAGCCACGGCGAGAAAACCTAACAAAAACAATTTCAGCATTGCTCGGTTTTATCCTAGGAGGAGTCTCACAGACGTTGGTTTTTTTTTTTTCAAATAATACTACAACAAAAAGAAAAACCTTATCGCCTCCGCTCTGTGCAGCTAGTGTGTTTTAAACCGTGCAACACCAAAACCGAGCTCAGGCCCAACGCTGCTAACAATGCCCAAATAAGAAAAGGAAGGATTTTGCACTGAAAAGGATGTTCGATACCGGGGCTTCCCAAAGCAACCAAAGTGTGGCACCTCACCATTGGATTTTTAACAGCGTCACTCCGCCCAAAAACCCAATCAGCGCAGAGCACACGCGAGTTGCAAGATTTAACTATTTCCGCGCTGAAGGGCTGTCTGTGATAGGAGAGGGCTCGTAGGGAAACGCTGAAACGTCAACGCCAGGCATCTTCCTCTTAGAAAGTGTTGTATTGGAATGGCGGAATTAAGGTGATTTTTTTCTAGCGTGTTTTTAACCGGTCTTTTAAACAGAGCCCAGTTTGATTACACAGTTTATGTAGGGACTTCATTGATTGTGATATCACATAATGTTGGTGAACTCCCCATTGTGACGAGGATTTTCAGTTTCTATAAATCTCCAGTTTCGCGCGAAGGAGATGCACTTCAGGTGATGGATGCTTCAGTCTAGTAAAGAAAACCAGCCCTGACCCCTGACCCCTGACCAGTAAAGGAAATGGGGACGCAGGTAAAGTTATATTTAAAATTATTAAATCATTTTATATATATATATGTTAACAACAGCATTGATATACAATATATGTAAAATACGTATAAATAAAAATGTAAAAAGCGGTTGAAATGCAGTGTTGATATAAAATATCTGAAGGAGAAATGGATATACAAATACGTCCATTTTTTATCATATGTCGTGTAAAAAGTAATATTGTGTTTAAAACTGCGTTTAAGAACAATATTTTGTGGAGCCCCTTCACTAAATAAAATAAATAATTATTTGAATCATCATCTTTGCAGGAGCCCGCCTTAGTTCACAGTCTCCCTGAACAGAAGAGCCGGCCAGCCCAGGAAAAGGTCCTGCCCCGGGCTGAGATAGTTCGTGCCAAACTCATCCAGAGCTTCTACCTGCTAGACCACTTACAGGGGGAGGTACGCGGGACCCCCAAATATAGCACCAAGGATGTACAAGGTACAGTCTGCCACCCATTCATCCCGTGTCTGATCATATTATCCCTACGCATAGATACTTATAAGTAGTTCGGGTGGGTAGCTGTGTCAGCATGCGTAGTCTGCAAAGGAAAAGTAATAGGTTTATTCCAAGCTGAAAAGAGAAGAAAGAAAACACAACATTTCGGCTGTGGTGTGGTGTCAGGTGTGAGCTCACACCTGAAGGAGGTACATAGCACTGTTGCTCTGTTTTCTTGCCAAACCTGATACTGTAACAGGAACTATTTGCTGGTAATCAGGTTTATCTGGTATGTATTTTGTGATTTTCATTTTTAGCAGTTCTTCAACATTGCAAAATATAATAAACTAACTGAGGAAACATGTTACTAATTAGCTAATGTTTTTTATTCAGCCCAAATCATGTCTTCTTTAAATTTAAGTATAAAATTAGGTGACTATCTTCAGAGATACAGATGTATTTTAGAATAGAATAAAAAAACAGAAATCAACTGTCACATAGCCTACATCCTCTTTAGATTTCTCAATCTGGCTGTTATAAAGCTACTACTTTGTAGGAAGTCCCTAATCTGTAGGACTTTCAACTTTTAGGTAAACACAGATGAGCCAATGACAGTGATACATGTGTTCCACCAGTACTTAAAGTGGAAGTTTCATGTGTTTGTTCATTGTAGACTCCCATCAAAATCTAAAGAAGGAAATAGGAAGTTTCACACTACAGCAAAAAGCTGGGAAAGATTACTTTTCAGTGTCTTGCAAGACAAGCTTTTCAATAGTGGGACATATTTACCCACTGGTTCTGCAATTGGACTGTAATGGGCTAAAACAATGGCGAATGTCTCCAGCTTTTTTCTGATTTGCAGATAACACAGTGTTCAACATGTTGATGGTGAAGGAGTCTCATCAGCTGGTGCGTTTCGAGGTCTCTCCCCTAAGGAACGACATCATCACTGAGGAGCACCGCCGGCGCAGCCGACTGAAGAATCGCTGTGCTCGCTACCCCCCTTTGAACATGTGGGCTCACTGGGTCCTGGAGAGTATCCTTTGTCCTCAACTCTATCGATGCCAGTGTGCAACCTTGCCTTTAATAGACTGTGTTTAATTACTTTTCAAATGCTGTAAGGCTTTTCTGGCCATATTACCAAATGACAACCCATTTTCCTTTTACTCTCCCTTTTCTGCCCTTTCTAAAGTAAGGACAAAAGATAGAAGAACATTAAGCATTGCTAACTCTGGTCCTTGTTTCCATGTAAGCTTCAAGTTTGGATTCCTTTTTTAATAAGTAAATGCCAGCATAATTTCTACATTAATTATATACAGTATGTTATGTTTAAGTCATTGCTTTAAATGAAGCTTATGATTATAAAGCTAATTGCATCTGTGCAATTATTGAAGATATCCTCTGTTTTCCTTCATGGGAATTATTCTAGGTGATATGTTTTCAAATGCTGTTCTTTTTTTGATCATTCTGAACACCATTGTATTGGGCATTCAGGCAGGTATGATCTGTTTTACACAGGTTAATCTCTTTCCATTCTGCACTTCAATAAGAAATGTCCGGCATACCAAGTCCACTCCTGCGACACACAGAGCAGAGCAGATCATTATTTTAAGCCCCTCAAAGTCACTCAAATTAGATCTACCGTAGCTAATACAATCTGTTATTCAAGCTATTCAATCCACACAGAGGTTGTTGCCACAAAGCAAGACAAATCAAACCAGGAGATATTTATGTGTTGCTAATGTACAGTATATCTCAAGGCCATTGCTGTGTTAAACATATCGATCAGTTTGCAGTACCGTAAATTGTTCGATCCTTACTCTCCTCCTTCCAGAGGTTTTTGACAACATGGACCCAAAAATGGAGATTCTGAAGCTAATCCTGGACATGCTGGACTGGAGTATCCTGACCATCTTCCTGCTTGAGATCCTGCTCAAGTGGATTGATGATTTTTTCCGGTTTTGGAAAAGCACATGGAACATCTTTGATTTTGTTGTTACAACATTGGTGAGAAACTAAAACATTAAGTAAGTCATTTGTAATTTGACAAGGATACATTGCTATTAATACTAATCAAATATTGCAATCACCTTTCCAATTGAATGACGTGGGGGGTGATATCAATATTAAAGACATAAAGCATACTCTAAGTCAATAGGTTTGTACTGACTCTGTGTCAATCATTTGCTGCAGTACTGTGTGTGTACAAGTATTGAATCTCAGAAGGAGTTCTGTTCAGCTGTGTAGACAGGGTTAGCAGTTTCTAACAAAAAATAACTTCCCTAAGTTAGGTACAATATTCTCTTGGACTCTTGAGTGCTATGTTTATAGGATTCGTTTTCTATCTTAGTCAATTCTTCCTGAGCTTATAAAGGCACACCAAGGAGATGATTCCTCTGACTTGGGTTTTGTGAAGCTGATCCGGATATTCCGGATCCTCCGCTCACTGAAAATGGTTTCCAAATTCCGGCAAGTCAGGCTCATTGTTCTGGCCATCTCCAAAGCATTTAAGGTAGGGCTTAGCATTATGTACTGAAAATCTTACATGTGCCAAGGAGATCTAATACAGGTATAATCGTATCATACAGATGTAAAATACTCTCTTATTGCGCACAGTTCCTGTGTTAAAAAGACTGTGTAAACTAATTTTCCATGTGCAGGTACTTGCAAAGTCTTCAAAGAATGAAACCTTTTAATGTTGCCAGATAGCACTTGTAATATCACAACTTCACCACCATACAGTACATCCGTTACATGTCTCTTGTCAAAACTGTTGTCCTTCCAATTTGCCAAACTGTTTGAATTATGCAATAATGCAATTTGTACTATTGATGACTGTAGCAAAACTGCTTAGAATCATGAAGGTGGTTGTGAAGACCATCTACAGCATTCCATCTACAGCATTTTTACAAAAAAACATTTGAGACAAATCCGCAATTATTAGGAATTAGTTATCATTATTATAAATAATGTAAGTGTTACAGAAGTCTTCTAAATGTCATAGACTACACAATAGTCTTAGCTTAGCTTTTTAGTCAGCTCTTACCTATACTTATGGACTTAATCAGCATCATTAGCTGGAAAAAATGTGCATTTATTTATATAACATATTTCGCTCTAAATATTCCCATATAGTATTTCAATAGTCATGTCCTCTTTATGAGTGATATCAAACCCTCGCTCATGTTTCTTCTAGGCAATGACTTTCATCTTCCTGCTCCTTCTGGTGTTTGCTTATATCTTCGCTGTGGCAGGGGTCATCTTCTTCCAGAGCTACACTCGCTCTGACAGACCCGACCTGGTATATAATCAGAACTTCAAGTGAGTTTCCGGGGCTGCCAGCCGAAAATACTGGCCTGTGTCAATTGGCCTCCTGTCTCCTCATACACACACACTCCAGGATAAAATTTCTTCAGCTAAAAGTTTATTGCAGTGGTTCTGATGAGTAGCTTAAAAATAAAATAGGTAATTACATGTATAGTATTCACGGACATAAATGACTGAAGCATTTACCTTTGTAATACAGGATCCAAACTCCTTTCCAGTAATGGTTGTTGAGATACTTTTGCTGTAGGGTAAAAAGGATGTTGCATTTTTTGTAGCCTTTATTCCATTTACAGTAAGTAAGCATGTCAGAACTAAGAAGTAGTCAGATTACTAGGTTGCAGTATATAAAATAATGCAGGTATTCAGGGGCTAAATCTACAGAGAACCAAGTGTTTCTTCTCCCTTGTGATTGCAGGGATATCCCCAGTACCTTCATTACCCTTTTTATCCTCTTCACAATGGATCACTGGTACGCTCTGCTGCAGGACACCAGGAAGGTGGAGGAGCTGGATCAAGCCACCAGTGGCCTCTACATCATTCTCTGGTTGCTCATTGGCTCCTTTATCTTCAGAAATATATTTGTAGGAATTATGGGTAGGTAACATCTTGAAAAAAGGCACAGGTGTCTTTTAGGTTTTTCCCCTGCTATGGAAAAGTAACTCGTGCTCTCATTTATTCAGATTTCCTGTTTTCCTTTCAAGTGAACAATTTCCAGGTGATTCGGAATGACCTCTCCCGGGAGGTGCAGCAGATTGAAATCCAGCAAAAGGCAGACCTCTTCAAAGCACAAATCATCAATAGGTAAGATCAGAAGTAGGTGTATTCAGAGACACATCCGTTTAGAGAGGTATGCTGTTGAGCATGCAAGCAGACCAGTTTCATACAGAGCTCGGATTGTAACAGTACAACACCCACATCTGTCTTGGTATTTATGACCTTAACTTTATCATTTCTATACAGTTTGCTATATACTGTACCAATTAAGAAGTATAAGCAATATACCACTAACAATAATATGCCTTATTTTATCTACAGGAGGATGAGCCAGTCAAGAGGCACAGATGGGTACAATATTAGGTAAAATGTTGACTGAATTATATGATAAATGCAGGTCTATCACCTGAGTACCAATAAAATACAATTTTCAGTCTATTATTAAGAATTGTTTTAATTGATAATTGTGAAGAAAATTTGTATATTTTGCAGTACGTTTAGTCCATACTGATGTTTTTCCCCCATTGGTCTGACAGCATTGCTAAAGAATTACCAGTAGAAGGCAGCAAAGAGCAACTAAACTCAGGTCTGATTTACAAGGAAGGCAGGGTGACTGAACAAAATATGGTGGCAGAAAAGGGTGAGTTTTGACATTGAACAGAAGACAGATACCAGGAAAGCTGCCTAACAGGTTAACTGCACAGAGTATTGAAACATGCAGTTAGAGCCAGAGGCACAAATGGTATTTCCCTGTGCACAAGCAAAGTAATATTCATTCAGATATGTTCTGCACATGCGGTGCTGCTACAGGTGCAGTTCACGCCGCAGTGTGCTCACATGTGTTCACTACTGAGTTCCTCCGTCACCTTGCAGACTGGGAGACTTATGTGGAGGAGAATATAGCAGTGATGCGGGAGCAGGAAGAGGATGAGAAGGTGACGTGGCCCCGGGCCCTACTTTTCAGATACTTTGAGCTACTTGAACAGCTACAGCACAACCTGGATGAGCGCAAGAGGCTACAGAATGTGGCAGGTAAGGTTCAGGATCTGGAACCTGGCAGCTCCCCCTACCCTCACCCACAAACCACAGAAATGTAAATACGAAGTCAGGAGACACGCTGAAAAACTGTGCTTAGAATTTCACTCCTCTTGGTCTTTTGTAGCTACTTTTCCCTCACCTTAGTCTCTAATATAAGATAAAGTAAATTCCGCAACTCAAAGGGACAACTTTTCAGGCAGATCCACTCAAAGAAGCAGCGAGAACTAAGACTGTTCAGACATTGACTGAAAGTGAAATCAACATTCTTGAAGCTATGCACGTTTTCGGCAGTGCAAATAGGATCTGTGGCCCAGCTCCAATCATTCACGTCAAGTGTTTCACTTCCTCTGTTCTTAAATTTGCTGTGTTGCAGTTCAGGCTTTGCTGAATTTCCATGACTCCTAAAATGTATCTGCTGAGGAATGGCCCCCATTTGTTCTCCTCTCCCTGAAGATTACAACATCTTTCCTTCATGACAGGTGAAGGACAAATAAAAAACACTACATTCCAATATCTGGCAGTGGTCTGTTTACAGATTAACACTTAAGAGATGTTTCAGAGATGAGCTGGTATATAGGTTGTACATGGACAATGACAGATTACTCAGTAGTTAGGTATATTTGTCATACTCAGAAATTAGCAAATTAATTACTCTCTGGGCAACATTATGTTGCCACAAATTTATTTGAAAATACAGGTGTACTGTAAAGACTTGTTCAAAAAATAAACATCAAACTCAAGACATTCAAATAAACATAAATTGCACAGGAAAGACAATAATCACTGGTGACCAACACTGGTAAATGAAATTTTACAATAATGATCCGAGTTGCCAACAAACACAAATGTTTAAAGGTTTAGTCCACATATCACAATATTGATTTCACTCTTCCTTTCAGTTGTGTTATGCAGCCCTTTCTCTCTAGTAATGGCTCCAGGGGTTATTTGCAATGACAGTGCCTAATTAGAACCTTACAAAGAACATGGAGTTAGTGTTAGTCATATCAAAGAAGGCTATCTCAATTAAAAAGTATTCCCTGGACCTGCCTGGGGAATTTTTTGCCAGTGGAGTTTCCCATTGCAGAGTGCACCATGAGTTGGCCTGCATTCCTATAATTTCAAATGACATCAAATTATTTCCTTCTTGTGTATGGTAAATAATCCAAGAATACATAAAATCACAGGTTTAAAAAAAATCGAAACATTAGAGACCTTCAGTGAATGAAGACAGCTAGTACATGCTCTGTCCAGTACTAGCTGATCTACTGTATTTATTTGCTCCCTGTGTACTGAAATGGAGTCATTTCAAGTGGAATTCACCCATCAGGGTTCAGTAAACATAACTAATCTTAATCTTTGCATTTAAAAGGTATAAAAATAAATGTTCCTTGTTAAAAAAAACTGATGTTAAAAAGATTTTTAAGTTTCCACCATTACTGACTTGAGGAATTGGTGCAATGTTGAGTTTCCAAGCGGTGATTTAATTGAGTCTGGCATACAAATAGATGTGCACTGCACGTTGTAGTGCAGGACTTACTGTTTGTGGAGGAGGCTGTACCTCGTGCTGGGGATGTTGCCTCAGCCCAGGAAGCAGAGCAAAGCCATGGTTGTGAACCCCAGCAGTATGAACAACACCTTGAGGAGCTGCCAATCAGGCGAGTTGAGCTCATGTGGCAGGATCTCCAAAAAGGTGATGTAGACAAAAGTTCCTGCAGCCAGTCCTTCCAACACAGCCTGGATCAGAGCGCCGCCCACCAGCTGTGCCTCTATCACGATGATCCCCACAGCAATGCCCAAGGGGGACATCAGTGCAAACACCACCACATAGGCCACCACCCACAAGGGCCTGACAGCACTCTGCACCAATTTCACTGACAGGCTGAAGACGATGATGCTTTTGTGAATCAGGATGGCAACACAGATCTCGAGAACCTGGACAGGGGGCATGCAGAAAAGAGAATGGATGAATTCAATTCAACACAAAAATTAGAGATTACTTTTGCAAAAACTTAACACATTTCCATAAATTGACCTCTACTTTTGAGGTACTGTTTGTTGCTCACTTATTATTCTCAATGCTTTCCTTTCAGATTTTTTCCCCAACATTTACTTATTGCATATTTTTTGCCAATTATTCTTTGTTTATTATACTGCAGAAGTCACAAAGCTAGCCTCTTCTGCCATTTTCTATTTGCATCTTAATATGGATGACTTCCCACGGTGTGTGCCCATGATTTTGACACCACCTACACCTTAGAGCACCTGACTAACAAATTAACTTTGGAACCTGTAAAGCACTGATCAAACTCCAAATGTGGAAATAAACACCTTACCACCTGCCATAAGCTGATTTGGTTTTACAAAGCAAGGCAGGAAATGCTTCAAGCTAGCTGCTCTATGAGAAGCTGGAAGGAAAGAATGGGAGGAGCCCTTTAGTTCATCTTACTTTGGACTCAGTAGTCTGCAGCCCGATGGCCAAGCCCTCAAACACAGAGTGGAGGGAAAGGGAGAGGAAGAGCATGAAGGAACGGAATGAGGAGTGTGCATTAAAGTCAACATGCACGTGATGGCCACTGCTCTCCAGGTCCCCATTTGGATGGTGCCCATGGACATGCCCTGTAGGGGGGATCAGGGGTGTGGTCTCTTCATGTCTCCACCTACTGAAGTTCAAAACCAGCCTCTCCAGAATCAACACGAGGAAGAAGCCCAAAGCGATGATGAACTCTTCCAGAGGAAAGGTTGTCTGAAAATAAAACATTTTCATAAAACAATAGGTAGAATGTTGGACTGTGGGAAGAAATATAATTTGATTACAATAAAGGAACTAGTAATAGGTTAATTCCATGCTGAAAAGAGAAGAAAGAAAAACAATTTTCGGCCTTGGAGTCTTCTTCAGGTGTGAGATCAAGATGCTCACACCTGAAGAAGGCTCCACGGCCGAAACGTTGCGTTTTCTTCCTTCTCTTTTCAGCATGGAATAAACCTATTACTTATTCCTATGCAGCCTACGCATGCTGACACAGCTACCCACCTGATTACAATAGATGTCATTTGTCAAACATAAAAGACACAATTGCCTTAAGAATTATGTTGATGTTCACACTTCATGAAAGAAAATACAGTATTAGAGGTGTGGAAATCTTTGCAGTTTGGCATGACCCTTACAAACATGGAATAATATACTTATTTTTCTGCAAGAAAAGATTGATCTTAACCATTTTGAAAGTATTTGGGTCAGTAACCACAATACAATGTGTTATATTTTTCACAAAACAAGCAAATTATTAAAAACCACAAGTACACAGCTTCTGAGGTTGTGAGAAATTAATTAGCATCACTCACTTCCAATTTGCGCGCCTGCAGCTCCTTTCCAATATCTGAGAGGTAGTCAGGGATGATGTCCAACAGACAGGCAGATAGGAAGACACCTCCAGCAAAACAGCTGATAAAGCTCAGAACCATGCGATGTGTTACTGGACAAGAGAGAAACCCTTTATCACACTAGAATTACACCAGATAGTATTCCCCAGCTAAATATGACTTCACATCCTACTTTCCACCCACAATGTTTTATTTGTGAATCGTGAAAGCGCTATCAAAACGATCAACCATGAAACGGTTTTCTGCTAATCTTTTAATTTCTTTCTAGTGATAAATATACTCATGTGGCTGGAAATATGATGCTGATAATTATTAAAAAGAATGCTAAAAATCAAAAGGATAGAATGAGAGGTCTAGAAAGTCAGCATCAGCAATCAGAATGCAGACCCACATTCTATAACATTCAGTAAATGAAAAAAACGTATTCTGATGAGAAGGATTCATTTTTGGTTTTCCTTTTTCCCATCTCATTATCAAGCAGAAAAAATAAATCCAGTTTAGTGAGTTTCCTATTACACTGAACAGAAAAAACATAGCAGATAAAGTAGGTGGGATCTTGTTTTCATGGTTCCAAAATTAATGCAAAAGTGTAACAGGATTCTTCGCAAAATGAGATGAACATTTAAAACCTACTGCAGAATAATTAGTCACATATATTTTGCATCAGCTTTCAATGTATTTTTTCAAGCAATAAAAAAGCAGTACAGAAAAAAAAACATTTTCTTCTGTTTTTCCAAAATGGATAGTCCTGCAGACCCTGCACTGAATTCAACTACTGTAAGCCATAGACAATAGACCCTTGGGGCTGATCACTTGACTTTGGTGTGCATGGTTGCCCTCTGCTCTCAGAAGCAAACTGAAGAACTATAGTAATACCAGCTGTACAGCAGAGTAGAGCAGAGAGATTCACCAAACTAATATAGTTACTAACTGGAATACACTACCACTGAGACCCAAAACACGGTATATAACATTTAAATCATCCAAACTGTAATAATCTTTGAGAAAGTACAATAAGGGGGAGTATCCGTTTCAGATTTGTATCTTGCGACTGTAATAAGAGCTACTTCTCAGCCCTGTAAAACCTGAGTTTCGGTTTCAAAACTGCTCTATACAAACTGATCTTAAAGTAGCTTACAACAGTTTAAGATCAGATTACAACACAAAGCCAAACAGAGGAGGTGTGCTTGCCCTTATTCAAGAAATTGAATCTAATTTGACCTTGATTCCCTTTTATAGTGCACGTTAGAATCACAACTAAACTTTCTCAGTGCTGCTTTAGCCTGCAGCTATGCTTATGCTGCCATTCAAGTTCACTCACAAACATACAGTACCTGCATATTGGAATAAGTCATGGAAGAAGCATGAAAATGCATATAAAAATCAAGGCCCTGTTTAGCACAAAATCGGCTGTGTGAGTGTGAGGCTGATGTTTAGGAATTTAGCCATTATGAATTATAAATCCTAGTATGAAGACCATAATGCCAAGAATATAAAGACCTGGGGGAATTATAAAGAATTGTGACAGAAAGGAAATACAGAACTGAAACCTGTGTTCACAGAGAATACAGAAGAATACAGATGGAAATTTCATGAAAGATCACCCATCAGATGTTACTTTGCCTAATTACGTAATCCTCTCAAAGTCATTTCAGTTGTTTTTCCGCTCCCCTCTCTAGCAACACAGTGACTCCCTCTTTTAGAGCTCACATACAGTACACAAAATACATAGGACTTTAAAAGCTTACACTGCTGCACCAAATGGCCTCAAATTTTACACTTGAAGTAGTTTTTGTGGTGTTCAACAGTTCCTCTATGCTTTCCACGAAAAATTAAACGGGGAAAGAAACACCATGATTGTCTTGTTTTTCATTTTGTGTTATTCTATTCATCCATTCTCTTACCACTTTATCCAATACAGGGTCACAGGGACACCAAAGCCTATCCTGGCAAGACACAGGTACAAGGCAGGATACACACACACAGACACACTACAAACTCACACCAGGGCCAATTTTCCCAGGTGCCACCTACAGTACCAGTATGTCTTTGGACTATAGGAGGAAACACAAACACAAGGAGAACAATAAACTCCATGCAGACAACACCCCAGGAACTGAACCCAGGGCCCCAGCGCTGCGAGGTAGCAATGATAACCACTGTGCCACTGGTCGAGTCCTCTTTTGTGATATTTTTCAATGTCATTGGA